GGCGGACATCAACCAAATCTTTCAGTGGGCTGCAGAAAACAATATGAAGTTCAACGATGAGAAATTTCAATTACTCAGATATGGTAAACATGAGGAAATTAAATCTTCATCAGAGTACAAAACAAATTCTGGCCACAAAATAGAGCGAAACACCAACGTCAAAGACCTAGGAGTGATTATGTCGGAGGATCTCACCTTCAAGGACCATAACATTGTATCAATCGCATCTGCTAGAAAAATGACAGGATGGATAATGAGAACCTTCAAAACTAGGGAGGCCAAGCCCATGATGACACTCTTCAGGTCACTTGTTCTATCTAGGCTGGAATATTGCTGCACTCTAACAGCACCTTTCAAGGCAGGTGAAATTGCCGACCTAGAAAATGTACAGAGAACTTTCACGGCGCGCATAACGGAGATAAAACACCTCAATTACTGGGAGCGCTTGAGGTTTCTAAACCTGTATTCCCTGGAACGCAGGAGGGAGAGATACATGATTATATACACCTGGAAAATCCTAGAGGGACTAGTACCAAACTTGCACACGAAAATCACTCACTACGAAAGCAAAAGACTTGGCAGACGATGCACCATCCCCCCAATGAAAAGCAGGGGTGTCACTAGCACGTTAAGAGACCATACAATAAGTGTCAGGGGCCCGAGACTGTTCAACTGCCTCCCAGCACACATAAGGGGGATTACCAACAGACCCCTGGCAGTCTTCAAGCTGGCACTGGACAAGCAACTAAAGTCAGTTCCTGATCAGCCGGGCTGTGGCTCGTACGTTGGTTTGCGTGCAGCCAGCAGCAACAGCCTGGTTGATCAGGCGCTGATCCACCAGGAGGCCTGGTCACAGACCGGGCCGCGGGGGCGTTGACCCCCGAAACTCTCTCCAGGTAAACTCCAGGTAAACACAGTGGCTTCTTTATTCAAGTACAGAGATAGCAGGTGAAGTAACCTGAAGAAGCCTACTGTGTAGGCGGAACGTTTCGAAATAAAGATACCCAACTGTTGCACATGTGTCTTACTCATCAACTTGACGGTATTTTGTACCATTTTCAACAAATTTATTTTTGTCATTTGAATTGATCAAAATATACTGTTAAATGTAAATACAGAAATTAAATGTTCGTTTCCAGTATACAGAAGTGGGTGTTGCAGCACAGCTTAAGTCCTCACAAAGATTATTACACTAAGAGAGATGAAGTTCTTGGAGAGAGAAGCATTGTTGCCTCACAATGTTTTTATTAACACAATTAGTGCAACCACAATGTGCGGCTGCTCTGATTTATACAACATTTTACATGGTGTGAGCAAGAATTATTTATCAACTTGCTGGTTCTCTGAACCATTTATCTACAAGAATTATTTCTACCTAACACCCATCACACAGGATGGGTTACCTAACACCCATCGCACAGGATGGGTGTTAGGTAACCATACTGTTTTACATCATGTAGGATGATTTTCCTGTTATATTCCATCTCACATGATGATTTTTCTCTAATATTTCATGACACAGGATAGTTTTCCTCTTATATCACGAAGGATGGATTTCTTCTCATGTTCCATCACACATGATGGTTTTCCTTTCAGATTACATTAAGCAGGATGACTTTCTTGTTATATTTCATTACACATGATGGTTTTTTTTATATTTCATCACACATGATGGGTTTCTTATCACATTCCATAAAGGAATGAGTTTCCTGCCGTATTCCATCACATAAGATGGTTGCACATAATCCAGTGAAGTGTTTCAGCCTGAGCTCTTGATCGAAGTAAATGAAGCTGCTACTCTCCTCTTTTATCAAAGCTGATTACATGCCATTCCCAGGTGTTGTACAATCCCTACTGGTTTTGTGCATCCCAGTGAATATACTACTACTACTTCTACTACAACAATTATTACTACTACCACTAATAATAATTAAAAAGAACGATAAGGATCACATGATAACGCAAGACCAAGGAAAGCTTAGAATAATATTAATTCATATATAAAAAGGGAAATTTACATACTTTCTTCTTTTTCTTTTATATATATATATATATATATATATATATATATATATATATATATATATATATATATATAATATATATATTATATATATATATATAATTATGTATATATATATATATATATATATATATATAAATATATATATATTATATATATATATATCTATATATATATATATGTTATAATATTATATATATATATCATATATATATATATATATATATATATATATATAGATATATAATATATATTCGAAAATTTCGCCTCGACATTCGATCGAAAACCCGCTATTCGATACGATTCGTAGGAGACGTGTCCACGTGTGGCCTGAACTGCCCGGTGTGTGCCAGTGTTTACAAGCCAGCCAGTGTTCGCGCATCTAAGGATACATTCGGTACATTCCATATTATCCATATTATCACTGTTTTTGGTGCTTGTTTCTGCAAAATAAGTAACCATGGGCCCCAAGAAAGCTTCTAGTGCAGTGGTTCCCAAACTTTTTCAGCTTGTTACCCAATTTAACATGCCACATAAAGCATGTTACCCCTTTCACAAAATGTTGTTATTATTGATATATATGGCTAAACGTGAACGTATACAGCCTCGCATACTCTGCTAATCCTAGCAAAACCATTGAAAACGTAAGAACCACACATACATTATATATAAAATTAATAATAGCTACAAATTCACAGTAACAGTGGGTAAATACTAACTATATACTGCACAGGCAGTACACATACATACCAGCTTATGTTTACCTCGGCTGATGCTCACTAGATAAACTGACAGTGTGAAATAGAGGCAGCCTCAGGAAGTAGAGTGACGCGTACTGGACAGGTCGATCTGGGCTACTGAGTGACTTTGTCCTGAAGCATACTTGTCAAAATACTTATTGGGTTTCCACACACTTAGCTATATATTTCTTCTTTTCTAATACTGTATATTAGTTTTTGATGTTTATTATTATTTGGTTTAACTTTATTACTTACTTATAATAGGTTTACTTTACAACTTTATATACTAAGACAAAGTTAACAATAATCCTCATACCGGGTACTGCATTGTTTTCTTGATTTTCAGAATTCATAACTTTTTTTCTGTCACCCCTCCATTACCCCCCAAAAATGGTTAAATTACCCCCAGGGGGTAATTTACCCCCAGTTTGGGAACCACTGTTCTAGTGCCAACCCTTCGAGAAAAAAGGTGCTAATGACTATTGAAATGTAGAAAAAGATAATTGCAAAGTACGAAAGTGGAGTGCGTGTGTCGGAGCTGGCCAGGTTGTATAGTAAACCCCAATCAAGCTGGTCCTAGTGGCATTAAAAGAAGGGAAGTAACCCCGAAAAGGACTTGCTACCTCAAGTCATAATGGAAGGGGATTCCCCTTATAAACACTACACATACCATCCAACACTCTCCCTCATCCCATCCCATCAATCATCACCAGATCTTCATTAAAGGTAAGTGTCAATTATTCTATTGTTATTAATCTATTGTTAGTGTTGTTATTGTAATTGTTCTATTGCATTAAAATTAATATTTCATGTGGTAAAATTTCTTTTCATACTTTTGGGTGTCTTGCACGGATTAATTTGATTTCATTATTTTTGGGGGAAAATTAATTCGACTTTCGATATTTTCGACATTCGGGGGTCCACTGTATATATACATATATATATATATATATATATATATATATATATATATATATCATTATATATATATATATATAATATAATATATATATATAATATATTTTATATAGCCGGACTTGAGTCCTGGAAATGGGAAGTACAATGCCTGCACTTTAAAGGAGGGGTTTGGGATATTGGCAGTTTGGAGGGATATGTTGTGTGTCTTTATACGTATATGCTTCTAAACTGTTGTATTCTGAGCACCTCTGCAAAAACAGTGATAATGTGCGAGTGTGGTGAAAGTGTTGAATGATTTATTTATTTATTTATTTATTTATTATAAATTTGAGCACACATACAGAGGTACAAAAAAATACAGATAAGAGCAGCATGCCAAAGCCACATATACTATGCATAGCATTACGGGCTGGCTTAAAATTAACTTAAGATTAACTAAGCAATGATGAAGTCAGTGATAAAACATTAATGTAAACAGATTACTATAAAGCACAAGTGAGTATTACAAAGACAGGTCATATGGTTGCATTCAGTCATATGAAGGATTCTGTTAGGTAGTGTATTTAAAAAATAATAAAGTTAGATTCGGTTTTAGGTTTAACATTTATGTGATATAATTGTGAGAAACATTTAAGATATACAATTTATAAGGTTCAGTTATTCAGTATTTATTTGGTTTTGGGTGAGTAAGTGATCTTTGAGTAGAGACTTGAATTTATAAACAGGTAGTGTTTTTTTATATTTACAGGTAATGAATTCCAGATTTTAGGGCCTTTTATGTGCATTGAGTTTTTGCATAGTGTGAGATGAACACGATGAATGATGAAAGTATTTTCTTTTTGGGGATTTTCTTTCTTTTTTTTTGGGTCACCCTGCCTCGGTGGGAAACGGCCGACTTGTTGAAAAAAAAAAAAAAAAAAAAAAAAATATACATATACATATATATTTTATATAGCCGGACTTGAGTCCTGGAAATGGGAAGTACAATGCCTGTACTCTAAAGGAGGGGTTTTGGGATATTAGCGGTTTGGAGGGATATGTTGTGTATCTTTATAGGTATATGCTTCTAAACTGTTGTGTTCTGAGCACCTCTGCAAAAACAGTGATTATGTGTGAGTGTGGTGAAAGTGTTGAATGATGATGAAAGTATATATATATATATATATATATATATATATATATATATATATATATATATATAATTTTCTTTTAATTTCTAAATGGCAGACTAAGTACAAAATAATTGTCTTCGGAACTAATGATTACATTACTAAGACTAGATATAAAGGTAATCACATTATTTTCGACAAGTAGCAAAACTAGATTCTCATGCCGAAAATTTCAAATGAAGAGAGATCTGTAGTCGTGGTAGGTCGTGACGACGAACTGAGGGTTGTAAATGTAAGGGACGGATTGGTAGGTGGTGGGGATGAGGTCGTTCTCTGTGTTGAAGATCGCTGTACCTTGTCACTCGAACTCCCTTGGGAAGATGTCGTTCTCTTTATGGAAGATTGCTGTATTTTGTCACTCGAACCTCCTTGGGAAGATGTTCTTTGTGTGGAAGATCGCTGTACCTTGTCATTCGAACCTCCTTGGGAAGATATAGTTCCCTGTGTGGAAGATCGCGATTCCTTGTCACTTGAACGTCCTCTGGAAGAGGTCGTCCTCTGTGTGGAATATCGCTGTACCTTGTCGCTTGAGTGTCCTTGGAAAGAGGTCGTTCTTTGTGTAGAAGACCGTTGTGCCTTTCCATTTGAACCTCCTTGAGATGCTCTTTGTGTGGAAGATTGCTGTTCCTTGTCAGTTATGTGTTCTTGGAAAAGCGTCCTCTGTTTGGAAGATGGCAGTGCCTTGTCACTTAAACGTTCTTGGTGCAAAGGAGCTGATGATGATGCTAGACCTGGAATAGTGATGTTTGTGGGGACAACGCCTTTGTCATGTTCTTGCTGCTTCATCATCTTATGGGGACGTCGTCTTATAATCCTGCTAGGGGCATTCGACGACCTTAAGCTGGGGACCTGAGATTTAATTCTACTCGAAAAGTCCGTTGCGCCTCTGCTGAAACTCTGTCTAGTTGAACTGGTAGCAAATGTGTTGTTAACCTGACTGAGAAAGTGTGTATCGGTGGTTGATCTGTTGAAATGCCAACTGGAAGGCTTGGCGAGCTTGTTGAGTGATACCTTTGGGGTTATGAATGCTCTAAGAGTAGGTCTAGTGCTAGTGGACTGGGTGGTAGGTGTCTGTGTTGTCAGGGCTTTTGTTGTAGTGCTGAATCTATCAGTCGAAGAACCTGCTGTATCGAATCTGCTTATTCTAGATTTAGGTGATGTGAAACTAGTGGTAGCTGCTTGGGTGGGAATAAATTTAAGATCTGAATCATTTGTGACTGAGAAGGTAGGAGTAAGAAAGGGTGTAATGGTAGTTGATTTCTTGAAATCCCAGTTGGTAGGAGGACTGGTGAGCTGATTGAATGAAATGTTAGGAGCTGTAGATGCTCCAAGAGTAAGCCTAGTGGACTGGGTGGTAGGTACCCGAGTTGTCGGTGCCTTTGTTGTAGCTTTGAATCTACCAATCGAAGAATCTTCTGTATGGAATCTTATTATAGATTTAGCGGTAGCTGAATTCTTCGTGGCTGAGAAGGCAGCTTGTGTTGTCATGTCATCACTGTTTATAGCAGGTGTTGAAGTAACTGGCAGTTTCTTGAATTCGAAGAGTGTAACTCCAGTGTCAAAGAGGAAATCATTCTCCGCAATCTCTCTTCTGAAGGCAGCTTGAGACAGATTTTTTTCCGATGGCTGAAGTGATTTATAACTCTCCTTTTCTCCACCTTGATCGTTATTGTCGTTATTTATGTTGGAGCTATTTGAATTACTGACTTTAACGGCATTGGCGTTTCTCTCATTGCTACTGTATTTAGTGTTAACCCACCCATTGTAATTGCTGTTAACAGATTTGGTAACAAGACTATTAATTATTTCATTGGTAGTGGCTCCTCCGGGACTGCCATATTTAGAGTTGCTGATTTTGCTGTTGACGGCGTTACTGTTCCTGTTCCTTGAGCTGCTTCCATTGTTGTTAACGATATTCCCCTGGCCTGCGGCGTTTCCGTTGTTCTCGTTGCCAATCATCCTGTTAATTCTTCTTCCAAAGGCACCCTCACTACTCCATTGTTCAGCATAATTGATGGGGTTTCCGTTACTGGTTGCTGGAGGTGAAAAACTCGCTCCATTTTTGTTACTTCCACTTTCGCCTCCTCTTTCCTTATTCCTCCCACTGCTCCTTCCGTTGCCGACAGTCGCGCTGTCGGAACCTCTATTGCCAGCGGCCCCGTTGTTGTTGGTGCCCGGGAAGACAATGGAGATGCTACCTCCTGGTGGAGGAAGGAAGCTCAGACGAGGTGACAAAGTCAAAGAGAGGAAGGAGGGAGTTGACTCTCTTAGTGGTGGCAAATAGCTATTGACAAGAGGGAGCTCAGTTGTGGGCACAGGACGCGAAGGTGTAGATACAGAACCCAAAGTTGAGTATCTAGGACGTGTTGTCGGTCTAGGTCTTGCAGTTGTCGGTTTAGTATATGTAGTTGTCGGTCTAGGAGGTGGATGTGTCAGTCTAGGAGGTGGATGTGTCGGTCTAGGAGGTGGATGTGTCGGTCTAGGAGGTGGATGTGTCGGTCTAGGAGGTGGATGCGTCGGTCTAGGAGGTGGATGTGTCGGTCTAGGAGGTGGATGTGTCGGTCTAGGAGGTGGACGTGTCAGTCTAGGAGGTGGATGTGTCGGTCTAGGAGGTGAATGTGTCGGTCTAGGAGGTGGATGTGTCGGTCTAGGAGGTGGATGTGTCGGTCTAGGAGGTGGATGTGTCGGTCTAGGAGGTGGATGTGTCGGTCTAGGAGGTGTAGTTGCATGTCTTTGGCTTGGAGTTGTCGATCTAGGAGGTGGATGTGTCTGTCTAGGATGTGTAATTGTCAGTCTGTGATGAGGAGGTGTAGCTGTATGCCAAGGTGTCGTTGCTCTTGGTTGTGTAGTAGCCAGAGCGTTATGCACATAACCTGTATAGGTCTCTCCCGGTCTTGATACCTCGACCCCTGAGTTTACTCGAATCTCACGATTTCCTGAGACCGATTTACTCGCAGCCAATGGGTCGCTGGATTCAATAGCTCTATTGAATGTCGGCGAGACTGGCAACAAGACAGCAGAAGTGCTACCCTCAGATATCCTGGCACCTAATCCTTCTCTAGTCTCGGTGTCAAAGAGGAAGTCCTGGAACATCCCCGTGTTCTGGACGGAGCTGTATGACACCGTGGGGTGGAAACCAGTGCTGTCGGCGTAGTAGCTGACTGTCATGAGGCGACGGTCAGGGAGGAGGATGTAGTAGTGACCGTCGACACGGTCTCCGACACGACGCGACCTGTGGCCGTAGAAGTTACCAAAGGTGGGTTGCTTGACATCGTGGGAGAAGGTGAACTGCTCCGTATCCTGCAACATCACAAGTATTATTTATTTAAAGATAACAAAAAATGTAATTTTAACCAAAATGCGCTATAATTAATACAGGAGGACTAATGAAAGCTTTATGTGCTATAATTAGTATTTGGTACTATGGAAAGCATTGTGAGTGTGTCATAATTAGTATGGAGATAAATTCGAAATAAGCCATCATTGATGCTCTCAGTGTTGCTCACTTGAATTTAGACGACCAAGATAATGGTGATCACAGCAAAAAAGATGGGTCCTAGCATACTACAACAGAAGTTTGAGAAATGTCCTAATACTGCAACAGTGAGAGAGATGCCCCAAGGCTACCATATTGAGTGAGAGAGGTCCCAAATGCTTCCACAGACAGTGAAAGCGGTCCCAATACTACTGTAATGACAGTGGTACCGATATTTATATATTGAGGAGACCCAATGTTACGAAAGGAGTGGGGACAGCAACAATACCCCCAAAAGTAATGGAATGAATGTCTCGATGTTTCCCAAAAAGGGGTAAGAGTTTTCAACACTCTCATATGAATGCGAGAGGCCCCCAACATCCCTAGTTGTGAAATTCCAACATTACCACAGGGATGGGAGAGGCCCCAAATCTATATTGGGTGAGTTATCTCGCTTTTTTGTTAGTTTGTATCTTTGTCCATATGTCTCTTCTTTCGTTTTTATTAATGTCTTTGTATTTTTGTGTTTTTTTAATCATCTTATCTCCCCCTGTCTTTGGTCTCCCCTTTTTAAACACCCTTCATTGTTCCAGTTGTTTGTATACCCATCGTTTTTCCATTTTTATAAAGGGGGTTTTTCTGTTTGTCTTTCGTCAATGTAAGTTTTGTTTGTCGTTTCTCTTCATTTATATCTTTTTTAAATCATCATTTTAAATTTATAGTGAAGAGTTGAAGAAAAACACTGCAGGTTTTAAGAGGCAAAAGTTATGACCGGGGCCTGAAGGGAAAGGGAAACGTGAAACCTCGAAAACAAGTTTTAAAAGGTAAGGCCAGGAGTATGATGAATTCCTTCAAACCAAGTAGATAAGTGTGTGTCTTTTTGTGTGTGTGTTTACGTCGTCGCACTTTTTTTTTTTTTTTTTTTTTTTTTTTTTTTTAAAATATCGGGTTTTTGGTGCCTTCCCTTGTCCCCAAAAGTCTTACTCTGTCATTTTAAATTCCCCCTGCCCGATTTTACTATTTTCCCCCTCGTCTCATTGCAGCTACATCTGTGTGTCGTCTTGAGGGGTGGATTGGATGAGGTTCGCCGGATTCCAGCCCGGGGCTTGTCCCGTTGGTGATTGCGAAATTTAAACCCCGGGGACAGTCGTAAGGAAAAGAGGGCTCACGTGACTGTCTCACTGGTGCCATCGTATCCTAGTCTGGCAAAGTTATGCACGTTGTTTACCAAGGTGTCTTCAGCTACAGCCCCATACACGTACACCTGTAGAAGAAATAGTCATTTAATATACCTGAAAACCGATTATTGAAGCATTTAACAGACCTGTAGTAAGATATATTTTTCACTACGTAATGACATGGATCATCATTTTATCAATACAAGTTCAGGTTTAATATGGCTTACATGTGTAAATCTTTTAACTTTATTAGCGTGAACGCAAAACCTCAATAAACCATACTGCAAACACACTGCCCCCTTCAAGGTAGGCGAAATTGCTGACCTGGAGAGTGTAACAAGAACTTTCACGGCACACATAAGTACGATAAGGCACCTAAATTACTGGAATGGTTGAAGTCCCTTGATTTGTACTCCTTGGAACGCAGGCGAGAGAGATACTACATGATAATACACACTTGGAAAATTCTAGAGGGATTAGTACCAAACTTGCACACGAAAATCACTCCCTATGAAAGCAAAAGACTCGGCAGGAGATGCAATATTCCCCCAATGAGAAGCAGGGGCGCCACGAGTACACTGAGAGACAACAAGTGTCCGGGGACCAAAACTGTTCAGCTGCCTGCCAGTATACATAAGGGGGATTTAGATGAATGGTTCAGAGAACCATTCAGCAACATCTTGGGATCTTAATACAGGGAATTCTTCACTTGCCTAGCCCTTGGGCACGACCTACTTCCACATTGGACAAATGTGACACCACCTACGACTGCTGCACCTCTCCTACCTACAGTATATAAGCCACTTATTCGCACATACCTGGAACCTGGAGCCTGGAGAGAGTTCCGTGGGTCAACGCCCCCGCGGCCCGGTCTGTGACCAGGCCTCCTGGTGAATCAGAGCCTGATCAACCAGGCTGTTGCTGCTGGCTGCACGCAAACCAACGTACGAGCCACAGCCCGGCTGGTCAGGAACCGACTTTAGGTGCTTGTCCAGTGCCAGCTTGAAGACTGCCAGGGGTCTGTTGGTAATCCCCCTTATGTATGCTGGGAGGCAGTTGAACAGTCTCGGGCCCCTGACACTTATTGTATGGTCTCTTAACGTGCTAGTGACACCCCTGCTTTTTATTGGGGGGATGGTGCATCGTCTGCCGAGTCTTTTGCTTTCATAAGGAGTGATTTTCGTGTGCAAGTTCGGTACTAGTCCCTCTAGGATTTTCCAGGTGTATATAATCATGTATCTCTCCCACCTGTGTTCCAGGGAATACAGGTTTAGGAACCTCAAGCGCTCCCAGTAATTGAGGTGTTTCATCTCCGTTATGCGTGCCGTGAAGGTTCTCTGTACATTTTCTAGGTCAGCAATTTCACCTGCCTTGAAAGGTGCTGTTAGTGTGCAGCAATATTCCAGCCTAGATAGAACAAGTGACCTGAAAAGTGTCATCATGGGCTTGGCCTCCTTAGTTTTGAAGGTTCTCATTATCCATCCTGTCATTTTTCTAGCAGATGCGATTGATACAATGTTATGGTCCTTGAAGGTGAGATCCTCCGACATGATCACTCCCAGGTTCTTTGACGTTGGTGTTTCGCTCTATTTTGTGGCCAGAATTTGTTTTGTACTCTGATGAAGATTTAATTTCCTCGTGTTTACCATATCTGAGTAATTGAAATTTCTCATCGTTGAACTTCATATTGTTTTCTGCAGCCCACTGAAAGATTTGGTTGATGTCCGCCTGGAGCCTTGCAGTGTCTGCAATGGAAGACACTGTCATGGAGATTCGGGTGTCATCTGCAAAGGAGAGACACGGTGCTGTGGCTGACATCCTTGTCTATGTCGGATATGAGGATGAGGAACAAGATGGGAGCGAGTACTGTGCCTTGTGGAACAGAGCTTTTCACCGTAGCTGCCTCGGACTTTACTCTGTTGACGACTACTCTCTGTGTTCTGTTAGTGAGGAAATTATAGATCCATCGACCGACTTTTCCTGTTATTCCTTTAGCACGCATTTTGTGTGCTATTACGCCATGGTCACACTTGTCGAAGGCTTTTGCAAAGTCTGTATATATTACATCTGCATTCTTTTTGTCTTCTAGTGCATTTAGGACCTTGTCGTAGTGATCCAATAGTTGAGACAGACAGGAGCGACCTGTTCTAAACCCATGTTGCCCTGGGTTGTGTAACTGATGGGTTTCTAGATGGGTGGTGATCTTGCTTCTTAGGACCCTTTCAAAGATTTTTATGATATGGGATGTTAGTGCTATTGGTCTGTAGTTCTTTGCTGTTGCTTTACTGCCCCCTTTGTGGAGTGGGGTTATGTTTGTTGTTTTTTAGTAACTGTGGGACGACCCCATGTCCATGCTCCCTCTCCATAGGATGGAAAAGGCTCGTGATAGGGGCTTCTTGCAGTTCTTGATGAACACGGAGTTCCATGAGTCTGGCCCTGGGGCAGAGTGCATGGGCATGTCATTTATCGCCTGTTCGAAGTCATTTGTCGTCAGGATAACATCGGATAGGCTTGTGTTAATCAAATTTTGTGGCTCTCTCATAAAAAATTCATTTTGATCTTCGACTCTCAGTCTGGTTAGCGGTTTGCTAAAAACTGAGTCATATTGGAACTTGAGTAGCTCACTCATTTCCTTGCTGTCATCTGTGTAGGACCCATCTTGTTTAAGTAGGGGCCCAATACTGGATGTTGTTCTCGACTTTGATTTGGCATAGGAGAAGAAATACTTTGGGTTTCTTTCGATTTCATTTATGGCTTTTAGTTCTTCCCGCGATTCCTGACTCCTATAAGATTCCTTTAGCTTAAGTTCGATGCTTGCTATTTCTCTGACCAGTGTCTCCCTACGCATTTCAGGTATATTGACCTCTTTTAGCCGCTCTGTTATTCTTTTCCGTCGCCTGTAAAGGGAGCGCCTGTCTCTTTCTATTTTACATCTACTCCTCCTTTTTCTTAGAGGAATAAGCCTTGTGCATACATCGAGTGCCACCAAGTTAATCTGTTCTAGGAATAAGTTGGGGTCTGTGTTGCTTAGTATATCTTCCCAGCTTATATCGGTTAGGACTTGGTTTACTTGGTCCCACTTTATGTTTTTGTTATTAAAGTTGAATTTGGTGAATGCTCCCTCGTGACTAGTCTCATTATGTCGGTCTGGGGCTCCACACATACATGTCTGAACTTCAATTATGTTGTGATCTGAGTATATTGTTTTTGATATGGTGACATTTCTTATCAGATTATCATTGTCAGTGAAGATGCTGTATACTTTTCAAGATTGATGGTCTGACTACATCGACTCAAGGCTGAGGGACTGATTACCTCAAACTCCTCCTGTTCTTCACCATTCTCCTTTGTTTGGACTGATGAAGCCACTGTGTGGCGAAACGTTTCCTCATTAAAGATACCCAAGTGTTGCACATGTGTCTAATTTATCATAAGGGGGATTACCAATAGACCCCTGGCTGTCTTCAAGAAGGCACTGGACAGGCACCTAAAGTCAGTACCTAACCAGCCGGGCTGTGGTTCGTACGTCAATTTGCGTTCGGCCAGCAGTAACAGTCTGGTTCATCAGACCCTGATCCACCACGAGGCCTGATCTCAGACCGGGCCGCGGGGGCGTTGACCCCCGAAACTCTCTCCAGGTATACACACACGTGTGTGTGTTTGTATTTCCTCAGTTTGTATTATCTCGCTCTTTTTAACCTAAACCTCTCAAGAGAGGTTCCTTGACGCTGGTGAGGGGCTCTTGATCTAGGGAATTGGATCTGTGCTCCAGTTCCCTGAAGTGAGCCTGAATATATTCCATCCCCTCCACCACAGGCGCTGTATAATCTCTACGGGTTTAGCGCTCCCCCATGATTATAATAATATTTTGAATCGACACCTCACAACATTCTCCAATCGAAATTATAATACTATAATTTTAAAGGCGCATATAAGAGGCGAAAATATCAAATGTACGTTTTTTTTTTTATATTTAACTTGCAATTCAATAGCTGGAGAGAGTATGGCTCCTCTGCCCCCATTCACCTCAGGAGAAAGTTTATTGGTCATATATCCGTCTAACAAACGGAAACTTAACAAACCTGGAGTTAATTAAAGATCCTTGACTGTCAGCCAGTGTTGACACCATTACCCAAGTGATTACATCAGTCAGTAACTGCAAGTGAGTTCTCTGGTCTTCAGCCTGTACTTGAATATTGACGAAAGGCCCATGTGATACCTAGAGGGTACTCCGAGGGTCAATGAACCCGCGTCCCGGTCCATGACCAGGCCTCGCGGTGGATCAGGGTCTGACCAACCAGGCTGTTACTGCTGGTAACACGCAAACCGACGTACCAACCATAGCCCGGCTGGTCAGATACTGTAATATACTAATTCATCGTTCTTTGTCTACTATATTTTTTTTCACATACTTATTCCATAGTTTTTAATTCAATTTGTATTCAGCCTAGCAAGCTGGATTATGCTTACCTCACATAACTGTAACTAATAATATATTAAATGTTATTGTTATTGGGGTTTATAGGGCCACTGACAGCATACGTCAACCGATTAAATGTTGAAAATT